GGACGAATATACAAAATAATATACCTTCTTAAAATTTTTAAATATATAGATTGCAATTTACCTACAGTTATTGTATATTATTATTTTTTCGGCAGCCTAAAAGTATGCCAGGATTTGTATAATACATATCCCATTGGATTATTTAATTGATTACAGAAATCGTCAATATAGAGTAAATTTGTATAACAGTTATGCATTGCAAAAGGCAAAAACATGTTTGGAAGAATAAAACTCAGTATGGCTATATGGAAATATTTTTCCCCAAAAAAATGTCATATTATAGTCTGCCTAATCCGTTGAACAAATAATATAACTTTTAATAAATTGCTGAATATCGTGTGGTGAGTTACACCAAAACCGTGAAAGTAGTCAAATAAATATCTGCCGGAGAAAGCGGCGTGTTTTGCGAACTCGAATTACTAATTTTGATACCCAATATCTTAAGATACCATTATCTTCAAATACCAAATTCCGTGAAAATGTGACATAAATCATGAAAATACCTAATTTCGTTAGACTGTAACTAGGGAGATATACGAAAATGTGGACCTTTGAAAATTATTTAAATATATTTTGACTTCTGTTATGATTAATTAAAAGTTGGCCCTCTATGGAGTAGATTCCGAAAAAATGGGCCAATATTGTATTTTTCGTATCGCACCTTAATTAATCTATATATATAAATGTAAGTTGTGTTAGTTACTACGCTTATAACTTAAGAACCGCTGGATTAATTTTAACGATTCACACAAATTCGGAGTTGTCTACTCTCCGAAAAGGATAATATCCAAAAAAATCGCGTAAAAATGTGATATATTAACATTTTCATTTTGACATTTCAAATGTACAATAGTAATGTTTTATTTTGCATGATTTTTTTCCATTTTGACTTACTTTTTTCTAATGTACATTTGTAGTGTTTTTTTATATTTTATTTTTGAATTCGAATATTCGAATATACCAATTTATATAATAAATTGGTATATTTAATTGACTTGATTTCTTGAGAACTGAAATTGATGGCGGGTTACATGGAAGTGTAGTAGCGAATTATGTGGTGGCGAAACGGAATAGATGATATCGAAATAATTTAACGCGGTCACACCAAAGTTAAAAGATAATTACTTTTTCTAAATCGCTGAAAAATCATGAAAAAGAGATCTCATTGCAAAAATCAAAAAAACATTTTCAATGGAATCGAATTTTAAAGTAATAGTACATTCTATTGACAAACTTTGTAAGGAAGGATCTTAAAACATTTGCTGTAAAAAATCAGCGAAAAAGTTGAAGACTTTTTCAATTTGTTATTCTTTTTTTTGTCAACTTTTTTTTGTGAACAAAATAAAGAATAATTTTTCACTAAAAAAATTGAATAAGTGCGAAATAGGATGTTAACTGACATCTACCTTTCAACTCCAGGGCCTACATCGTGGGTTAGCTGGAAGATGCGAACACGTTTAAACAAACAAAAATGACCGAAAAAGCTTAATGGGGCTCATTTCAAAGCGTGACAATGATCCGTCCAATGAGAGCTCAAAATGCAAAATTCTTTGGGAGAATAATAAGTAATATACCAATATTGAAATAAAAGGTGCAAAATAGTAGAGCGAATGGGACTTTTAGTAAGAAAAGGTTTTATATCCTTCCAGAAATTCTTCCCAAACATTCAAAATACCTAAAATCACTTTTGCAGGTCTTTATATCGATCATAACTCACGGATAAGGGAACAACCCGATTTCATATTTATATAACCATCTATGATTTAAGTTATTTTTGGGGTCTTGGCCGGCCACTTTTTTCATTTTTTGGCCCTTATTTGACATTTTTGTTTCTAAGGGGGTAGATAACCTCTTCGCATAAAATTTGAAATTTTCAGAGTAGGGCCCATATTGGTATTGACCACATTCATCAATTGATTTGGCTAAAAAATTTTATTTATGCCACCCTGGGGTAGGGAACCATCACACAGATAATTGCCACATAGGAATTTATTTAAGTAAAGTCCCCACATTGGAGTATCCCCAAGTCCACTTTCACATCTAATGTGTGGTCAGAAAAGAAAATTTTGTATTCTATTGAATTTTTAACCCCCAAGAGAATATTGGTTGGGAACGTAGATTTGGGATGTGCATCCATATGAAATAAATTGTGGAAACATGAACAAATTACAAATATAAGAAAGTAGCACGGGACCGAATATTTGTTTAATCATCATTGAATTATCCTATGATGAAAATATGGACTTTAAGGGGTCTCCAACTTACAATTTAAATGGCAAATAAAATTAATTCCCATCTTATCATTCTGCCCTCAATTATGAGGTGGATAAAACTATTTTTACTTATTTAAATCACGCGAAATGCTATGACATGCTATATTGTTCTGCTATATTTTTGATTTGGCCTCTATTTGTCATCTTGGATTATAAGGGGTAGAAGAAAGTTTTCAATGTAGGTCGATGTTTCGGAGTAGTGCCCATATAAAGAAGGTACCTCCTAATTTAACCACATTTCAAAGAATTTGGCTAATAATGCGTATTAGGGGGGTGAAAATCTTACACTAAAATTTCAACATATCTACAAATTTTAGAATTTTTATCCATGTTATAATACCCTCTCAAGTCCACCTTTTGGCGGACAAACAGACTGACATGGTTAGGGGGACTTATGAGGACTCTAATGCACAATCTAAGTTGCTAATGGGTTTAAAAAAGTAATTAACTTTGGCTATTCTTAAATCATTCAGCCCTCAATTATGTAGTATACAAAATACAGCAAATTCCAAATTACTGCTCATTTGACTGGAAGATTTTGCTACGATTTTTACCATATTAAAAATTAATTTGATCCCTTATATGGCGATAAGATTGATATATACTTTTAAATAGATTTGTATAGCACATCCACACAGTTGAAGCCCACGGTTTACATATTGAAGCCCACTGGTTAAAAATGGGTACAGGTATTTTAAAACACTTTAAATCGACATGTACGTGAACACTTATATCAGTCATATCTGTGAATAATTATGCTTGGGAAAATATGCATAATAGACAAAAACTACGGGCCGGCAACGCGGACCGGGCCAGCTAGTATCATATAAATATTGGGACGTGTCAGGTTTGGACTATATTGGTTAATTCCTTCACTTTATTGAGATATGTGACAATTTTTAGAAAATGATAAAATGTGCGTCTGGTATCGGATATAGTCGACCGAAGTATTCCATTTTCATACTTCATCTAATACTGATACAAATTTTGGTACGGTCAAAATAAAAAGAAAATCGAACATTTATATCCAATTTTATTCGAAATAATAAATTCCATATTCATCTACCATTCATATATCATCTTTACAACAACTCTTTGAATGAGTACTTGAAGACAATCGGGCTCTTACACCACATTTTATAAGAGTTACAATTATTCTAAATTTTTACACTTTGTGGAGGAGGTACTTGATGGAGTGGACCGATATCGTCTATTTTCGCAATTGACATAGCAAATATCAAGATTTGTAAAGTTGGAGAAAAAACGGCCTATCCTTTCTCTTCCTGTGTGGATTTTTTTTTGAAAATTTCGACCCTCTGTGGGGAGAGAATTATCGTGCTGAGGTTATAAAAATAGCTATACGAAGACATGGAAGTCCTGTAAAGGCGATTTGCTCCAATAGAAGGTAGTACCCATTACGAACTCCGAATACCAAATTTTAAAACATTGCGATGAAAAGTGTGACAGAATCATCAAAATATTGAATATCTAGAGGTACAGTTATATGGGGTTAATAACAATACTTGGACCCAGATGCGCAAATATCTGCAAGTATGTTTCTGACAACACAAACTCTCAATTTAGAAAGAATTAGATTTTAAAATTGTGATTTAAACGTCCAAAAACACCTTAAATCTGTCAGTACAGTTGTAAGGGAGTTTCACCAAAACATGGACCTATGTGACCTCAATACCACAAATCGTATGTGTCTGGGATCATTTATTTGGGAAGCTATAGTGATTTCCATAGAACGACATATGGTCTGTGTTACATAATGTTAAAAAATCAACTATACAAATCTGGCTGTACCTACATTGCATATTTTTGGAGAGAAGCTAGGTGTCTTATTTGCAAAGAACTTGGAACATCATATTACAGGAGATTTGGCTGGGACAAAACCTTGAATATACCGAAAATATGATAGATATGTGGGCTATACCAACAAGGGCACCTACATTGAATATCTTTTCTGAGGAGAGAGCCCGAAATGTAAACTAACAACTGGTACTTTTAGAAATTGGTCGGAGACCTGAAGGTACCATTATATAGGAATAGATATTACAGGTAGGTAATTTTGCAGTACGTAAGATTCAAGGAAATAGTGTATTACAAACAAGTAAAAAAGCTGCTAAGGTCTTCCTCGCGGAAATTTTAATACCCTCCACCAAGGAACGTGAAATTTAAAAAAAAAATCATTAGAAAAACAATTCCAGGACCTGAATAAGTGATTTTTTGTCATAGGCTGTAGAACGTATTACGAACTTTAAATACGAAATTTGAAAAAAGTCCGGTAAAAATATAGCGTGATTATAAAGACAGACAGGAAGATGGTTGAACATCGCAAAAACGACTTAGAATTTCACACTAAAAGAATATATACTTTGTTGGGTATTTCGAAAAGTTACAATCGGAATGACAAATTTAATATACCCTCCATACAGTGGTGGAGGGTATAAAAAAGATTGCACATAACCTTCATATAGTAGCACCGGCCGATATTATGTTTTTAATCAACGTATGTACATGGGAACAAGATGTCAGAACTATATTCGTTTTTCGGGGTATAATTCACTCACCCCCACATTGTGTCCCCCGTTATAATACTGTTTTGCATTCCCTGGCTTATTCTCGTGATAACCCTTGATATTTTAAAATTATTCAGAAAAATAGTGTAAACAAATGCCAGTCAGAGATTATAAGATTCAATACTATTATATGTTTCAGTTTAGAAAATGTATACAGATGCAATGCTAAAGCTAAATATGTATATTGAAAACAATAAAAATTAAAATCCCGCTTCTTAAGTCGAAGTATCATTTGGGGCACAGATAATATAGTGCAGCAGTACTAGAAAAGATTATCGCCAGTGCAATTTCCCTCCACTACAACATGGAAGGTATATTAAGTTTTTCGTTCCGTTCTTTATCTTATTGAAATAAAGTCACCTTAATTAAATCATATGGAGAAAGAAAGTTAAAAGTTAGAAAATTGGTAATATCATTTGGGCTTACCCGCCAAATTCAGGTTAATTGGTGATGCTTGCCAAAAAAGCAACGGTTCCTGAAATTAAAAATATTGGATTCTTAGTAGTTTAAAAATAAAGCGAAAACATTAGTGAGGCTTTTGAGATTCTTAATGTATATGTCAACTACGTACCAAAATATATAAAGCAGGGGCTCAATGCCAGTTCTATAAAATTGTGAAATGAAAACATTTATATAGCAAGAAGTTCGAATATTTATTTCCAATTTAAAGCGAATAAATCATAATCAAAATATTCAACGATTGTGGGGAAGGTAACGCAAAGTGTGGGCCCATAGATCCCTTATTCACATCAGATCCCTGGTTGAGAGATATATTTAGATATGCCATGTTTGAAAAAAATTGCTGACATGTTTCGAAAGTTAGAACATATAAAAATACTGACAATTGTGACCTTTTGAAGGGGAGTTATCAGAAGGGTTGGGCAGATATATCCCATCTTCGCACCTGATATTTTGTTAATAAAAATATTGGTATGTGCGAAATTTGAAGAGAATTGGGTTTTCGCATTTTCTGAGAAGTAGAATTATTATGACCCGTTGTAGGTGTGTGTGTGTGTGTGTGCGGGGGGGGGGGGGGGGGGGGGTTGTACCACAACGAGTAAAAATATTTCATTTTTGTACCATATCTCATGCTGGTAAAAATACTGAGATGTATAAAACTTGAAGACAATTGTATTCTTATTTCACATTTTATAGGAGTTATAATTATTAAAAATTTTAAGCTTTGTGGGGGAGATACCAGTTATAGAAGTAGGCGGATATATCCCATTTCCATACTAGATCTTGTGTTTTTGGAAACATAAGGATGTGCCACGTTTGATGCTCATTTTGCCTATTATGAGCGTCATGTTTATTGAAAATGTTGACCTGTTGTGGGTGAGTACCGGAAGGAGTGATCCGTTCTATCCGTCCTTGATATCAGATCTTGTATCGGTAGAAAAATTTTTCAGATGTGTGAAATTTGAAGACCATGGGATTTTTATTTCACATTTTGTAAGAGAGACGATTATAGGTACCTGAAGAGATATCCGATATGTTCCATCTCCACACTACATATTGTATTTATATTGAGATGTAAAAACCTAAGGGTTATAACTATTCAAAATTTTGACCCTTTGTGGGGGATGTACTTGATAGAGTGGGCCGATAAATTCTATTTTCGTATCTGACCTAACATTGGTAAAAACATTGAAATTGTTTAAGTTTTTTCAAAATTGGAAGATCCTACGGTGAAAATTCTGAAGTTTTGTGGGGGAGGTACCAGAAGGAGTTGACCGATATTTCCCATTTTCGAACTTGATGTAAGTTTAATAATAATATTACCATCTGCCAAGTTTGGATACTCCCTGCGAGAGTTATCGTGTGCACCAGCCAGACAGACGGACGGATGAACGGACACCTCTAGGTCGACTCCAAATGTTCTGAAATGGATTTGGTCTAAACCCTGATTGCGATGAGGCACATTTGATATATAACCTCTGTAGCCATATGGCTAGGGGTTTAAAAATTGTATGCCTTCATCTACACCAACAACGAAGCTCATCTCATAGTGCAGATTGGCTCGCCTCGAAAGATAAATAGCCAATTAAAACATGTTTTTCATTTCTAGAACAAGAATAGAACAAGAATACAGTCCCGGGTCATTCGTATTGGCATAGCCCCGGAGTAATGAACTGCCCAATTTAGGGTATTTTTATAACTTTAACCATATTTTTTTTCAACGTCCTACCTAATATCCGGCCTACCGAACACAATTACTGTCCTTCCTCATTATGCCAAAAATAAAAGAAAGGAACATTTGTAAAAGATATTAACTTTTTCCAAATGTTACCGACTTCAGTTCCAAAAATTAATCTTTTTTAATTAGTTTTTGTTCAACTTAAAAAAAAAAAATGCAATCGATTCATAAAAATTCATCTGCTCCAGTTTTGTGGTGAAAAACTTCGAAGGCAAACGTCCGGTATTAGGTATGGTTGCAGGAGAAAGAATAATAAAATCTCATTTAAGGGCTGTCAAACTACTTATAACCTTCTAAAAAAATAATTTAAAAAAGTTTTTTTTTTGTCAAATTGTAAACAATACATGTCATTGTATTGTTTTGCATGAATTTTTTAAAACAACAACAAAAAAACCATTCACCTCAGCTCACAGTGACATCATTTACGGCTGGATGGTGGAGAAATCCCAGCAAGCTATGTTTGCGTATTTTTCATTTCCAAAAAAACCAGTCTTCTAGAATAAATATGTACAAATGTTATTATTTCATGTTCAAGTACAAAAACAAAAAAAAAAAAAAAAAAAACACACACACACAATAAAAATAAATAAACAAACAAGTGCCGTCGATGTGTGACATTCAATCTTACTTACTGCCAGGCTGCCTCACAATTATTTCGAACACTGCAGGCGGATTATTCGAGTCACGAATAATCTATAAATCCGAAAATTAACAAATTTTGCTAGAATTTGTTTACCTTTTGTTTTATTGTTTTTTTTGTTGGTCTGGTTTTAATTTGTTTGCAGGGCATGAGTAATAGCAGGTTTTATTCCAGACGACTTAAGAATCGATTTATTTAAAAATAATTGCTGGCTTTATCGATTGTTTCCATATCCATTGATATATTGACACGGAAGCCGTGAGAGTTGTTTTCATTACTTTTTTGTTTGTTACAAAATTAAACGTCAGATCGGTGTTATGAAACAAGCTTGTACATCTACAGTTAATTTAAATGGCTTATAAATATGGAATATGACACAAGCTGACGCCATAATATCAATGTCTTTAATTACACTGTCCAGCAAATTTAGTGAATGTTTTTGGTGCAGAAATTTCAGGTTTTGGAACAGAGCATTTATTTTATTAAAATGTCACCTAGTCGAAAAAAATGTTTTTGGTTTTTGACCGAAACCACGATGACATGCTCCCTTGGCGGGTATACCCGCTGTAGCCATGTGGCTAAGGGTATGAATATCACAAAGGGTAACAAAAATATTCACACTTTTATATCCTCAGCCATCTGGCTATAGAGGGTATATATTGGTTGATAGGGGTTAAAGTTACCGCATCGAAATAACTCTTTTAAAGCCAAGGTCTCTTTGGACCAAATCCGTTTCATAACATTTGAAGTTAATCTAGAGATGCCCGTCCGTCTGTCTGGCTGGTAGGCTATTGCGCACGATTATTCTCGAAGGGAGTAGACGATTATTATTATCAAACTTAGATCGATCGAGTTCTGAGATGGGATGTACCTCCCCCACAAAAGGTCAACATTTTCACAGAAAATAATTTGCCGTATAGAACATGAAAGAATCATTCGAAAGGAAGAAACTTGGCAAATCGCAATATTTGTATCAGTGCTATGTCAGGTGCGAAAATGGACAATACTGGTCCATTCCATCATGTACCTCTCACACAGGGGGGTCAACATTTTAAATAATTATAACTCTTATAAAATACGAAATAGGTATCCGATTCTCTACAAATTTTGAACATCACAATATTTCTACTAACACAATATCTGGTGTGGAGATGTAGTACATCAGCCCCATCCTTCTGGTACCTCCACCATAACAAGTCAAAATTTTGAATAATTACATGTCTTAGAAAATGCAAAATAAACATCAGGTTCTCTTCAATTTTTACACATCCGAACATTTTTGATAACACAAGATCTAGTGTATATATCAGTTTACTCCTTCTGGTACCTCTCCCAAAAAAGGTCGAAATTTTTTAAAAATATTTTACTGCACAGAAAGATAATCCGACTTTGGTCCAACTTTGTAAATCATAATATTTATATCGGTGATAGTTCAGGTGTGAAAATGGACACAAAGGGTAAAAACTCTTCGATTTAAAAGTCCGATTCTCCTCAAATTTTACAAATCTTAATGTTTCTCTTAACACAAGATCTGGTGTGAAGATGATAGATATCACCCTATCCCTTTTGGTACCTCCCCAACAACAAGTCACAGTATTCAATACTTATATCGCTCATAACTAGCAAAACAAATCAGCGATCCCTTTCAAACTTGGTATATTTTAATATTTCCTATTTTTATACCCTCCACCATTCATAGTATGGAGGGTATATTAAGTTCGACATTCCGTCATTGTAACTCATCGAAATAATCATTTTAGACCCAACAAAGTATATAAATTCTTGATCAGCGTAAAATGTTAAGATGATTTAGCCATGTCCGTCCGTCTGTCCGTCTGTTGTAATCACGCTACAGTCTAAACAAATTAAGATAGGAAGCTACAATTTTGCACAGATCCCTCTTTTGTCTGCAGGCAGGTCAAGTTCGAAGATGGGCTATATCGGTTCACGATATCGTATAGCCTCCATATAACGGTACCCCCCGATATTCGGTATTTTGATGATTTTAGCCACATTTTTCAACGGAATTGTCTGATAATCCACACAAAGAGTTCTTTGTGGGTACTTTATCCCTTGGAAGAGAATTATCTATATAGGTCCACGATATCGTATATCCCCCATATAACGGTACCCCCGATATTCGGTATTTTGATGATTTTAGCCACATTTTTTAACGGAATTGTCTGATAATCCACACAAGGAGTTCTTTGTGGGTACTTTATCCCTTGGAAGAGAATTATCTATATAGGCCTACGATATCGTATAGCCCCATATATCGGTACCCTCCGATATTCAGTATTTTGATGATTTTAGCCACATTTTTCAACGGAATTGTCTGATATTCCACACAAGAAGTACGTTGTGGGTACTTTATACCTCGGAAGAGAATTATCTATATAGGTCCACGATATCGTATAGCCCCCATATAACGGTACCCCCTACCGAATGTCGGGGGTACCGTTATATGATTTTACCCACATTTTTCAACGGAATTGTATGAAAATCCACACAAGGAGTACCTTGTGGGTACTTTGTACCTCGGAAGAGAATTATCTATATAGGTCCACGATATCGTATGGCCCCATATAACGGTACCCTCTGATATTCGGTTTTTTTTGAAAATTTTCTAATTCTTTCCAAATGGTGGAGGGTATTCAAAGTTCGGCCCGGCCGAACGTACTGCTTTTTTACTTGTTATACCCTACAACACAATGTGTTGGGGGTATTATAAGAATAGAAGCCTATTTCTTTTGGAGATGATCGCCAAATGTTTAGGGGTTGAAATGGACCAAATACTGAAAAAATATCGAATTTTGCAGTAGCTATACAGGTCGCAATTATAGACCAATCGGAATTTCGTATGTAGCTAGAGTTTAGGCCAAGGAAGAAGCCTACCAATTTGGGTGGTCATCGGATAATATTTAGCGGGTAAAATAGACCATATCTTTTGTGTTGAAAAATTCAACATTTTTCATTAAACCGCGAATATTTCAAATCCCGGCGAAATCAGGAAGCCATGATAAGGTTACTTCTGACCTTTACATTGATGTTAACATCCAACAAATCGGATATATAGCAAAATATGTGCGATATATATGTCTATCAAAGAAGATATGCTTGAAAGATCTCTTATATGTCGAGAACGGCTGAACT